AAAAAAAAATATTTTTTTTAATTAAAGGAATTATAGCTTACAGACCAAAAACTATGTTCACTGGTACAGAGACAAGCCCGCTGCCTATTTTTGTGCAGAAAAAAAAAATTGTGGATACAGTCCCATTTACATATTGCCTATGGCTGTTCTGCACCAAGCTGGGTAGTTTAGACAAAGACAAAGAGTAAGATACTTATTATCTGGCCTTTACAGAGTGTTAGCTGATCTCAAGTTTAAAACCACAATGATGCTAGGTGTGGTGGCACATGCCTGTAATCCCAATTAACTCAGGAGGCTGAGGCAGGAGGATTGCTGCAAGTTCCAGGTCAGCCTGGGCTACAAAGTCAGTTTAAAACCAGCCTGAACTACACAGCAAAACTCTGGCTTAAAAAGACCAAAACAAAAAAAATATATTATTAAGAAATTATTATTATTAATTATTGATAATTAATTATGGCTCTCCTCCGGGAGCCTGTGAGGCAGGAAGCTAGCCATAATTATAATTTATTATTATTATAATTATAATTAATTATTATTAAGCCACAATGAATGATTCAGTTTTGGTGCTGTTTATCAGATACGATTAGTTCCTAAGAAAATGAATAGAAAGTTTAAATCATAACATATCCTTACTTGCCATCCTCCAAAACTGTGTGTCCCACAGACTGCAAAGGTTACAGTACATATCAGATCCAAAATGTTGTTCAGGCCTTTTTATTACATAATCATTTCTAAGAGTTTTCCAGTGGACTTTCACTCTAGACAAGTACCCTACCACGGAGCCACACCTCCAGGCCTGGATTCTCTAACAATTTCACTTTACTTCAAAACATTTCCTAGATTAAGATAAAGATTCTACCTGTAATGAAGTATGTGCTGAATCTGAATAGACAGTAACTTTGGTAAGCACCCAACATATTTTCCTGTGCAGTATTAACTTTTTCAATCACATTAATACAGGAAAAATAATTTTTAAAAAACCATATTAGTGATAGCTGGAATCATTTTAATTATAATTAAAGTCATCCCCCATGCCTTACTTTCATCTGAAATGTGAAGATAAAAACAGACTATCTCGGGTGGGGATGCTGTGATGAGCCAATGAGTTATCATCTGTACTGAATTGTGTGTGTGTGTGTGTGTGTGTGTGTGTGTGTGTGTACTGGCCACTGAACCACTGAACCTGGGGCTCATTTCTTATTTTGAGTCAGGGTCTCACTAACTTGGCGAGGCTTGAGTCGTGACCCTTCTGTGTCACCCTCTCAAAGCACTGGGATTTCAGGCCTGAGCCACGGAGCCTGGTTGTGTACAGTGTTTAGGAAGCACCAGCACACCGCAGTTATCACCTCTCACCACTACCATCATTAAACACGATCTTATTTGCCTTTAACTCTCTTCTTACCGTGCGTAACTGCCTGTCCATCCCGATGTTTGTGCAGTATCACTTCCTCCTCGGACGTGTGCACAGTGAACATGCTGGAAGCTGGCAAAAGCAGTTCCCAGTGATCTAGTGCCGGGGCGCTGGCTGATTTTCTTTGTCTTCTGTTTGTTCTACCGCATGGCTGGGAAGCAGCCTTGCTAGGACAGTCGTCATCTGCAGCCGGTCGAGCAGGAGAGGTGGCTTCAGCTAATGAGAGAAATTCCAGAGGACTTTTTGAACTTGGGTGAACCGTGCGTGCACCTGACATCCTAACTTCACCCCGGTCAGTTTCTTCATTGGAAAGCTCTAAACCTTTAGTTGCTTCCTTAATTTTGTTTTTAATCCCTTTCTTAACACCCAAATGACTCTGAATTACAGCTTCCAGGGCCACTTTCCTCTGGTAGTTTGACATGCGGCGTGTTGTTCTCACGTAGTATTCTGCAGGGAACAGAAGGCCCTCAAGCACCGTGCAAGAATGTATCGGATTTTCTGTAGAAACAGAGACTGCTTCTGGGCCAAGATTTTTAGGGTGACTTAGAACTTCATCTTCCGGAAGATTCACATTTCTACAACTGAGGGTATTACTGGGAGATTCTACAGATTTCTCCGTGCGATTTTTTTCATTTACATTTTGGCATTTATTTGCTGATGAGTTATTGTAAGTGAGTTCGTTTACAGAGCATGCATTACCTGCCTCATTAGCACTTTTAGGCAGTTGGCTACTCGTACTTACAGCTTCATTTAACACTGAATTATCTGTGCAGACAGTCATTTTTATGCCTTGTGCTTCCAGATTTATGGGTGAAACAGAGGTAATGTTTTTAAACTCCTGAGACGTAAGCTCACAGTGACCTTTAGAGGGCGTATGTTCGAGGTGCTGACTATCACTGCTGTCTGATAAAGTGAGCCAAGGAGCTGCGGTCTCCTTGAAAAAACTATTTCGTCTTGAGGATATCTCAATAGCTCTTTCTGACTCAGCAGTTGGTGGAATTAATTCACTCTCTCCATCATCTTCTGTAGCTGGTGCTGAAAAATCTAGGAGTTCGGATTTAGGACTCGGAAGGTGAGTTACTTCAGTTACTGATAACCTAGGATTTTTGTTATTGATTGCCTCCTGTTCCTTTAATCTTTTGCCAGAGGGTATGAGTGAACTGATGTCAAAGAAACCCTCTCTTTCCTGTGAGTTAAGTGTTCTCTTCGGCTGCTTTTCTTCCCCTGGCAGTTCAGTCCGTCTTTTTTCACTAACAGGATCACAGGCCTTACAGGGTGGATGTTCTTGGCTGTCATCTGTTCTTTGTGAACACAACCCTTCTCCTAGGCCATCTTCACAGTTATAAGACTTGGGTTCAACATGAAGTGTCACAGAGATCTTTTCTCCAGTTTCCTCATCAAGATGGGTACTGATCTGTAATTTTTCACAAGGAGATCCTTCGTTTCTAGGTGCTGAGGAGAAAAAAAATGTCTGTAACTAAGTTTCTTTTAAAAATCTAACAAATAAACAAAACTCCATACTTATTTTGCTGTTGGGCATGGTGGCACATGCCTGTAATACTAGCACTTGGGAGGCTGAAGCAGGAGGATTGCTACAGGGTTTGAGGCCAGCCTGAACTTTGTAACGAGAACCTGTCTCAAAAAATACACACACACACACACACACACACACACACACACACACACTATAGGGCTGGAGATGTGTCACAGTAGCACAACACTTTCCTAGTATGTTTGAGGCTCTGGATTCAATTCCCAATACCGTAAAAATAAATAAGTAAATAAAAATAAGAATATTATATATATATCTGAATATTTATTTAAAAAAGATTCAAAGGCATTTCATTCAGGTAGATATAAGTTCAACTCCTAAAAATTCTAAGAACTGGGCCGGGGATGGAGCTCAGTGGCACAGCACCTGCCTGATAAGCACAAGGTCCTGAGTTAATTCCCAGTGAAAAAAAAATCTAACAACTACAGAATTTTACGTAAATGTGAACAAATAGAATTGTGCTAAGAAGTGTTTCTTTAAAAGATTTTTTAAAATCTCAATAATCTTTTACAAATGTTTTTAACCTCATCTAACGTCTCCTGGTGCTGGGGGCTGAGCCCTGCACCTCATGAATGCCTGGCACATGCACTACCATCGAAGTATACATGTTCCCGAGCCCACTTAATATTTCCCGGGTTTCTTTCTCTTCTTCCTTCTTGTTTTTGCTTAAGTAATTTGAGTACCACTTTCTCATTTCAATAGCTACCAACCTTGCAACACACAATGATCACATTTGCTGTGGGGGATTCGTACACATACATAACACATCTTTTTTTTTGTTCTCTTCTCCTCCCCTCCTTCTAACCCTTCCTATCAATGTTTTTTAAAGAGTATTTTTCAGCCGAGCGTGGTGGCGCACGCCTGTAATCCCAGCACTTGGGAGGCTGAGGCAGGAGGACCATTGTGAGTTCGAGACCAGCCTTGGCTACAAAGTGAGTTCAAGGCCAGCCTGAACTGCATAGCGAGCCCGTCTCAAAAAAAAAAAAAGGAGTATTTTTCATGCAGGGCATGGTGGTGCATGTCTGTAATCCAAATGTTCAGGAGGCTGAGGCAGGAGGATCGCTGTGTGTTCGAGAGCAGCCTGGGCTACAAGGTGAGCTCAAGGCCAGCCTGAACTGCAGAGTGAGACCCTGTCTCAAAAAGACCAAAAAAAAAAAGTATTTTTCTCTGTGCATATGTGGATACTTTTAAAAAAAATTATGCTAATATTTGAACTTTAAATATATTTTTTAAAAGTTGAAGAAAAATAAGCAACTAAATTAGCAACCCAAATGGAAGTATAGTTTATTGCTCTAATTTACGGCACATGAATTTTATGTTAAGTTAGAAATCTATTGCTGCTTACCTCCTGGCTGTGGAAAAAGAATGACAGGCAAATAAATGTACTTGAAACATGAATGATAAAGCAAGCGTAAGTGACGACACTGGATTTACCTGGGTTGTCTTGCTGTGGTGAGATTTTATACGGGAGCGAGCAATCCTGTTCTACTGTTTTCTTCACAGAATTCTTAACCTTCTCAGCTCTTTGGGCACGCTAAACAAAACAAAAGAAGCACAAGAAAAAAATTTCCTTTAGTTTTATTGTTGTCAGAAACTCTTTTTAAAACTGTCTGTGCAGTACCTTGAGAGAATACAGTTCGCTTACCTTAAGACGGGCCAGTGTCTTGGTGTACTCCCTTTTCAAAAACGCTAGTTTTTCCTTCAACTGGAAGAAGAAAAACACCAACCACGCTGAGTAGTGGAAAGGCGGAGTCAGAGGGAAGCAACACAGGTCTATCAGACAGGAGCAGCAGTCAGCGCTCAGCAGGGTTCTTCAGCCTCCCGGAGAGGAACTGGGCCACAAGGACCTATTCCCAGTTCTCACAAAGCGCCAGGCTTTTCACTCTCTGGAGCTTTGCACAAACCATTTCTGTCACCTGGAACATTTCTTTCCTTTGTCAATTCCCATGGACTCCTCAAGAGTAGGTTTAAGACTTCCCTGAGGAACAATTCTAGGCTGCTCTCCAAATCCAGGTTAAACGCCCCCTCTCCTCTCTGCTTCCCTTATCACAATGTCCTACTGTGTCCCAGTATGCTGTGTTACTTCCCTGTTCTTCGCCATCGCTGTGAGATCCACAAAGATAACAGGAGTTAGCACCTCCACTCAGCAAATGTGTTAATGGTCGGGTACCTCTAGCACCTAGAACAACAGCTGATACCCACTTTCAGATGCTAGCGATACGGGCGATGAAGGCAATTTACATATAGTGAAGGCTACAGATAATATACGTGAAAACCAACAATCCGACGGGATTTTACAAGGTAACAAATACTTAAACGGGGTGACATGAGTGATAGGCTCCCCAATGGACTGCTCAGGCAAGTGGTCAGGGAGGCACTTCTCAGGACTGTCACTGAAGCCTAGACCTGAAAAAGGAAGGAGCTAGCCTTAGGGACGTTGGGGATGGGAACCACAAACGTGAAAAAGCTCCACGAGGGATGGGCAAAGTGTATCTGAGGAGCACCCCAAAGACCAGCGAAACAGGACTTCTCTCTGCTGAGTTCTCAGCTAGCTACACCCTGGGCATTCAACAAAGACTTCTGGAACTAGGTTAAGTCAAATTGCTGATCTCTGAAAGTTTAGATTTCCTTTGTCTCTCTGGCTTCTGTGATTCAAAGGATAACCTGAGCAGCAAAGCCATCCTTGTTTTCCTTCTACTTTCCAGGACCCTGTTGGAAAAACTCATCCTTCCAAGACCGTGCGGCTCGCAAACGGCAGGATTCCAGCTCCAGCGGCAGGCGAGCAGGCCCGTGTTCCGCGGGTCTCGGCTAGTCTGCTTCTCACCAGCCTTATCGATATTTAGGTGTTTATCGTAAATGATCTTTTCACCCTAGTAGCAGATAAGCTACAGTAAGTGTCTGACAAGTTAAGTTGAATGTGAGTTCGCCTCGCTGCAGCCAGCAAGCACAATAAAAATTCCCGTTAACAGCGCCAAGAGCCTGGAAGCAAAAAGCCTATCAGCAGATTAGTATCTAAAGAAACAAGGACACTTCCAAAGTACATGATACTCTACAGAGTTTCAAAAGAAAAAAAAAAAGTAGGTAACAATATCCTAATGTGGTTGTTACACAGAAAAAAAAAACTAAGTTGCAAAGCCATTCAGATCATACTATTTACGAACATTCCCTATTTCAGTAATACATACTATTTTTAGGTGAATAGGGATACTCAGCCGCCCACCCCAACACACGGGCACTGAAGCTTCGTCTATAATGTTTTGCATTTTTGTTTGTGAGACAGGGTCTCACTATGCAGTTCAGGTTGGCCTTGAGCTCACTTTGGGGCCCAGGCTGGTCTCGAGCTCGCAACAATCCTCCTGCCTCAGCCTCCCGAGTGCGGGGATGACAGGCGCGCGCCACCGCGCCCGGCACGTTTTGCATTTCTCATGCACTGCCACTGTAAGGAACATGCTTTCTAAGCGCCCCCACGCGAGCGCCGCGCGATCTCCTACACCTGCACTGCCGGCGCCCACTCGGGCCCGGGAACGCAGGTCCGGGGACACCGCCGCCGCGGACCGCGAGGAGAGCAAGCCACGCCTCCAGCCTGGAAGCGGGTCGGGATCCCCAGTGAGCCCTCGGCACCTTTTCCTTCTCCGCACCGCTGAGGGGCTTCCAGGGAGGCTCCTCCATGGGGACGGAGGCCCAACGGAAAGAGCAGCCGTCGCCAGCCCTGGACCGGCGGGCACGGACACCCAGACGCCTCGGGTCCGAGAAGCACCGCGGGGAGGAACGAGGGACCGGGAAGCCCTCAGACCGCGACCTGGCGGCGGCGCACGCGGCCAGGCGCGCCATCCGCCCCGGCCAATCAAAGCCGCCGCTGGGCTTGCGCACGCGCAGCCGGTGACAGCCGAGCGAGAGCGCAGGGCCGCTTAGAGGAGAGCCGAGCTGTCGATCACAGCCTCGGCCCCCTCGGAAAGCGGAAGTGGAGGCGCGGCCGGAAGTAGCCGGAATCTCAGCGAGCGGCTTTTGACAGGATTCCCGCGGAGCGGAGAGGAGGCGGTGGCCATGGAGTTGGGCGAGCTGCTCTACAACAAGTCGGAGTACATCGAGACGGTGCGTGTGCGCAGACGGCCGCCGTCCGCCGTCGCAGGCCCGGGCGCAGCC